GATATGGTTATTATGTAAAATGATTGATGTTTTAAACATGCATATATATTGTTCCCCTAAGATAAAGCTAACAAATTACTAGTGTCATTTGGAACCAAGAAACTAAACCAAAATAATGATGTAGGTACGAAACCAAAGAAGTAAAAACTCTGTAAATGTGAATTAGAAGTGCTAGTAGGAATTAATTTTTTCTCTAAAATGAGAAATGAGAATAGCTAATTCTATTAAAAGAAAAGTTAAACAATGAGAAGTCCCGTAGTAATAGGCTTACCTAGTACTTACATTCGTTCCACTTAATTCTTGATGAAATAGCTGAGTAATTTTAGAGCTAGGTCAGCCTGGTGTAATACATCTCACGAGCAAGTGAGCTCGTCAAAGCTATTGAGGCCTTATCCAAGGACTTGGGAACTAATTAGATGTTCCTGTTGGTTAAAAGTGGGACAATTTAGAAGTCAGGTATGATAGCAGTGAATTAAAATTCGTGAAATAAATGCCAGTTCATGATTTCATAAAGACTTAAAAATATCGATCTATTTGAAAGATGCTTGAGAGATGGAAAATGAAGAAAAGAAATGGAAATGCCTTTCCTTTATGAACTGTTCTTTAAGGCTGTCAAATGCAACAGGGACAGGTTTCTGTTTATGGAAGTATTCCATCTAATAATGAAGAAATGATGTATTGGTAAATGAAAAATGGTAAAATACCACCATTTTATTGCTGTTAATCAAATAATGGAAAAGCCGTGTATTCCCTAAAAGCTACTAAGAACATGAGCTCAGAGCTGTTTGAGACATTGCAGTGGAGATGTAGGCTGTGATGAAATATTGATGGGCCCAGCAGGACTGGACTTTGTTAAGGAGAGGGAAAAGACTCAAATCTATGATCAGTTTTTAATTTTAGAATCTGTATTTGTATGTAGCAATAGAAAGAGTAAAATTGTTAGGGAGATACTTTCCAATTAATTTTTTATTTGAACCCGAATATAGAGACACTTCCCTTCCTATATGTATTTTTTCAGTTTTTAAAATTTCTAAATTGTTCACATTAACATAATTTCAAAACTGAAGATGTGTCTTAATCTCCATTGGTTCTGTTTTCATCCCTCCTTTTCATCTGTAAGTTTTTTAATTGAGAATTTCATATATGTATATGTATTTTGATCAAATACTCCACATTTTCTTCCCTCCCCCACTTTGTGCCCCCCCCCGAGTCCACTTAGTGCTACCTGTATGTGTGTATGTATCTGGATGATATAGGACCATCTACTAGAGCATGGGTAACTTTTCAGAGGCCCCATCCTGAATGTGAACTGATTCTCCCTCCTCCAGCAGGCATCAATTGCCAACAGCTTCTCAGGAGTGGGGCTTCATGAGTCCCTCCCAGTCCATTCTGGGATTTTTGATTGGCTTGATTTTGTGTAGGTCTTGTACATACAGTTGCTGTTGTGTAATGATCCTATCATGTCCAACAAATGTTTCTTTCAATGCAGATGTTCACTATTTCTGACTCTTTACCCCCTCTTCTGAAATGATCCCTGGGCCTTAACTGGAGGGGCTATGGTATAGCCGTCCCATTTACAGCACAGTGGAGTACACAAATCTAGGATAAAGAGACCCTGACTCCCAAATTAATTCATCCATCTCTTTTTTTGTTTTTTGACAGTCTCTTAGGCCTCAGACTATAGCCGAGGATATTCTTGAACTTCTGATCCTTTTGCCTCCACCTCCCTAGTGTTTACAGGTATGCACCATTGCACCCAGTTTTATTCCCTGGCCATGTGTATGCTAGGCAAGCACTCTTCCAACTTAGCTACATAAGTATATATTGAGCACTGCGCAAGATTTTATTCTGGGTGCTTTGGAAAAAATAAACACTCAAAAAAGTTACAGTTAAAGGCCCTCCTTAATTTTCTCATCTGAAAAATGTTTTTTAACAGTACTTTCTAGTAAATGTTCTTAGATTGCCTTACCAAACTTATTCATATATGGCTGTTTTAAGTGTAGTACTGGATGCCACTTACCAGCTTAAATGTCCACCCCAGGTTAGAAGTCCTTTTGATGGTAAGGTGTTATTTCAGTCTGTCTAGTGCCTTTTTGAAAACTTTTATTACTCTTTAACAAAAATCTATTAGGTCCTTTTGCTGGGGAAAGAATCAGATCAATTTGTAATGTTATAGTCTGTTTTCCTCTATAAATTGTGCCATCTGGTGGTACTTCTGAAAAACTGCAGGGTATTTGTGTCTTGCCATGTGTGTTATATAGAAACTGCTGTTTTGCATGAAGCAAGATGAAATTGTGGCAAAATCTGGGCCTGCCCTATGTACCAGAAATTTAGGTTTTCAGCAATTAAAACATAAACAGCCATGTGTATATGACTTGGCCATAAAAAGAGTTTATTCTTTAATACAATCATCTCTTCAATCTATACTATATCTCAACTTAGATCAATAATTAGAAATGGTAATAGGATAGTTTATCAGTGAGCTGTTAGTTGCTTCCGATTTTGCAAAGAAGATTTGAAGTATTATAAGAATTTGCTTTTGTGTCAGGCTTATGTCTTTGGAACCATGAATATTTAAATGAGTTTTCAGTAAAACTGATTTTTTGAAAATGAATTATTTTATAGCTTAGTGATAATAAATTGCATTCTTGTAAATAATAGCATAGTGCCATCTTTAAAAAATTTATTTAATTTTGTGTGTATGTGTGTCTGTGTACGATATGCATGCGTGTGGTGCTGGGAACCAAACCTGGGTCTTCTGGAAGAGCAGCAAGTGCTCTTAACCACTGAGCCATCTCTAGCCCATGTTCTTGTGTTTTGTTTTGTTTTCCTAAACTGTCAATTTAAATTTTTAATTGAATTTTTGCAAATTTATAATATATTTTGGTCATATTTAGATCCTCTCTCCTATCTGCACCCCCTCTTAGTACCCCTGCCCAACTTCATGGCCTCCTATTACACACACACCCCTATAGAGTCAAATTTGTGTCCCCAAATGCCTTCCAGTGTGGATCTATCCACTAGTGTCCTTAAAATGATACTGACTCTCTTCCTCCCAGCAGCCATCGGTTCCCAGTAGTTCCTTGGTAGGGTTTCTTACCCACTTTCCCATGTCCTGGGATTTTGTCTGATTTGAGTTTATATGGAACTTGTGCATTGGCCACAATTGCCGAGAGTTCATATGGGTAGCTGACCAGCTGTTTGGAAAACTGTTTCCATGTGGTCATCTACCATTGTGGATCTTGGCAATCTTTCCACCCCCTACTTCTGCAATGATCCCTGAGCCTTGGGAGGCAGACGTTAGGTATAGGTGTCCTATTCACAGATAAGCACTCTACAGCTTCTTATTTCTGTACATTGGCCAGTTGTGGGTCTTTGTGTTAATCACCATCTGCTGAATGAGGACTTCTGTAGTGAAAGTTAAGAGATGGATTAATCTATGGATATGAGTCATTAGGAGTCAGTTAAATACTATTTTTATTTGGCAGAATAATAGAATTAGCTTTTCCCTATGGCCTGTGACCTGCCTAGCCTCAAGTTCCTAGTCCTGATATCAGCGTCAGTTATGAGCTCCATCTTGTGAAACAGACCTTAAATCTAATTAGAAAATGGTTGATTACTTAAATAATATTTTTGCCACTATTGCACCAGTGGGCATATCTCACCAGGCCAGTTGTTGTAGTTCACAGGATTCATAGCTAGAGGTAAGGTTGATGATTAATTTTCTCTTCTCGTAGTATGTATAGCACCTTCCAGCACTATGAAAGCTGGTCAGTAGAGATGACACTTTGAAGTGAGTACCAGCTTGATTTCTCCTTGTTTACTCTACAACTCGTGTATATTAATTGGTTTTTGAGACAGGATCTTGCTCTGTAGCACAGGCTGGGCTTGAACTTGTGATTCTTCTGCTTCAGCCTCCCAAGTGCTGGCATTAGAGGCTTACATCACCACCCACTGCCAGATATATAATCTTGAAAACAAGTAGATAACAGAAATGATTTTACTACTTATTACAGTAAGAATTGCCAACACATTCATAAAGGATTGTGTGTACGGTGATTTAAATTTCTTTTTTTCTTTTTTTTCTCAGCAAGAGTATTCTCTTCATTTCAGGGTTTAAACTTCTTGTCTTCCCAAATTTCTAGTTCATGATCCCTTACTTGGTAGGCATTGTTCATTATCTTTGAATTATAATCTTACTGTTTGTTTTAGCCAGAACTATAGTAATATGTCAAATATGTATGTCCATTAGTATAAATGAGCATTCCTTTTTTGTATTTGGCCATAGTTGAAATAAGCAACAATGTTTAATAGTGGCTCTCTGCTATTAATTTAATTCCTGCTTAATTTTGCTCTAAGTCTCTTTATTTTCAAATCATAGCCAGTCAGATGAGGATTCTGGGTCAGCATCAGGCTCTGGATCAGGCTCGAGCTCTGGCAGCAGTAGTGATGGAAGTAGTAGCCAGTCTGGGAGCAGCGATGCTGATTCTGGCTCTGACTCTGGAAGTCAATCAGAGTCTGAATCGGACACATCCAGAGAGAACAAAGTTCAAGCAAAACCACCGAAAGTTGATGGAGCTGAGGTAATATTCAGTGCAAAGTATATTTTTTTGTATTATATTGAGAAAACTTAGGCAGTTGACAGCATTCTTATGACAGTTTTTAGGAAAAATAGATCTTAAGCATTAAAATTCTTTGTGACTCTGAAGCTATAGTTGTGTGTCTGAACTAACTACTTAAAAGAGAAGCAAAAAAGTACAAAATATATATGCATACAAATTAAACCTTTTCTGCCCCTTTAAAGGTTGAATTTTGTAACTGGTCAGAGTCATGGGTTGGGAGTACAGCTCAGTGGTAGTGCTTGTGCCTTAGCATACACGAAGTTCTGGATTTAGTCCCCAACACCACAGACATCAAATGGTACAAATAAACTGAGTTTTGTGTGATAATCACGCTTCATGTGATTATCTTGTTAGGCTGGTATGATCTCTCCAAAGAAGGTACTGTATTGCTAATAGCAGGACTGTATTGCTAATAGCAGGAGAAATTAATAGAACTATTTCCTGGAAGGCTATTGATAGAATAGGCTAAGGATTATTCTATTTGAAACATGATTTTACCAGATAAATAAAACCTTCCATACTTCATAGCAGTATTTGCTATACTCCAAGTAATAGGCCACAAAGAGCTAAACTTGAGCCAAGATTATAAATCAGTGTACAGCTTTGTTAATGGAGATGCCCATCCTCCCCCCAAAAGTCACACAATGAAATAGAATGTGCTTAATGACATAATTGATTTATACTTTGACTCTAGCCTTTCACCTTTGCCTCACACAGGTGACAAAGTCCTGACTTCCATTTTCATTATATTGCAGTGGTACTGTATTATATATAATGAGTAAATAATTTCTTTTTTGAGGGAGTGAAAACTTGGAACTATCAACAAACTTGTTTTTTTCATTTTCTGCCACCTCTCGTCTTTCCTGATTCATGTTTCTGATAGTTTTGGAAATCTAGCCCTAGTATTCTGGCTGTTCAGAGATCTGCGATGCTCAAGAAGCAGCAACAGCAGCCACAGCCGCAGCAACAGCCAGCTTCATCTAACAGTGGATCAGAAGAGGTGAGTGTTCACGATGAGCTGTCTTCATGGGAGACCTATGCATGCTTATTTTTAACTATAATTGATTTGAAAGAATAGCAAGAAGTACCTGCTTTTAAATATATATATCAAGAATCTTGACATAGAGCCATACTTTTTACCCAATATTCCTATGTTTAGAGGTTAATCTAGAATAATTGGGGGAACCTTTATGTGCATTTACTTATCACAACAGAGGTAGAAATAAAATAGCTGGGTATGGTGGTGGTGAATGCCTATAATCCTAGTACTCAGGAGGCTGAGGTAAGGTGAATCATGAGTTACATGTAGGTCAGCCTAAGCTCTCTGAGTGTGATAACAACCTGAGCTCCGTAGTGGACACTTTCAAAACAGAAGACAAAAACTAGAGATAAATTAAATGTGAAATTATTAAATATGATAAACTGCTTGTAATCCTAGCATTTGTGACTTTGAAGCCAGCCTGGATTACACAGTAAGACCTTTTTTACTGCCCCCTCTCCAACATCATATACATGTGTGTACATGTGTACATACATCAATGAATAGAAGAACACTATATCTTTATTTTTAAAAAGCATTTTATTATTTGTCTTATTTTATGTATATGAGTGTATTGCCTGCACGTATATAAGTGCACCCATGTGCAGTGGTCAGAAGAGGGTGTCATATCACCTGGAACTGGAGTATGGATGGTTTTTAGCCACCATGTGGGTGCTAGAAATTGAACCTGGGTCCTCCGCCAGAGCATCCAGTGCTCTTACTGCTGAGCCATTTCTCCAGCCCCCTATATCATTATTTTTTTTATTGAATTTCTGTCTATTTCATGTAAAACATCTTAATCATCTCTATCACCCTCCCCTCCCCCATTTCTGCACCCTCCCATAGCACCCCTCCACCAAATTTCATGTATTCTTTCATTTATATTAAGACCTATTGAGTCAAGTTAGTGTCCCTTGGCATCCCTCAGTACAAATTCATTCACTGGGATCTAGACAGCCTATCTGTATAAGAGTCACTCCTTTAAAGGTCAACTCTCCCTCACCCTGCAGTAATTAGGTGCCAATAGTTCTTTGGCCAAGACTGGGGCCTGCTGCCCATTTTCCCCAGTTCTTTGCTGGGTTTTTGACAGCCTGAGTCTGAATGGGTCTTGTGTGTGCTGACACCAATGCTGTAGATAGATATGAGCAAGGCCCCAGGAGCCTCTAAGACTATTTCCATATGGTCATGCACTACCTCTCCTGACTCTTACCATCTTTCCACTCCCCTCTTCTGCAATGGTCCCTGAGCCCTGAGAGGGCAGAGCTTAATACAGGAGTCCTGTCCAAGGAGTTATACTCTGCAGACTTATTTTCTATGCTTTGGCTTTTTTGGCCTTTTGTATTCATTACCCTCTATTGCATGAGGGAGCTTCTTTGAGGAGACATACATTAGTATTCCCTCTACCCCCTGTTCTATGTTCCTTGAGCCTTAGGTGTAGAAGTTCCATTATAGATGTTTCACTTAGGGATGAGTGTCTCATAGACACTTATTCTCTCTGTGTGACCAGTTGTGGAATTCTGTAATAATCTCTGTCTGTTGCAAAAGAAGCTTTTTGATAAGTGATGACTGGCATACTTTTCTTCTGTAAATATAAGGCTCCATATTTAGTATATAGTAAGAAATTATGTTTGTCTAGGGAGGTGACAACCTTAGGGTTTTCTCTAAGATCTATGACCTTTCCAGCAATGTGTGTGTGGATGTGTTTACAGTACCACACATGAGTTCTCTCCCATTGAGTGAGCTTTAGGTCCAATTAAGGTAGCTGTTTATTACCCACAAGATAAAAGTGCCACTATTACCAAATGTAGTTTGCTGTGCTGGTCATTGCTGTGGTTATTAGGACTTAAAGCTGGGGTTGGACCATTAATTGATGTTCTCCCTTAGTAGCTTGCATAGTGTCCTCCAAAACTATGAGAGCTAGTCTTCAGGGAGGAGGCTTTCAGTTGTATTCCAGCTCCATTGTTCCAAGTCTTGTGTCTGAAATGTGTCCTCTCATCAGCAGTAGTGTCATACCTTCAAGTTCTGAAACGCAGTCAAGGGCTGTGGCAATATCCTGTGTAATTTTGGGAGTCTGCATTCGGAACTACCCTGGCCAACAACTCGAAGGGAGATTTCTCTTGTTTGGCACTGTTGTTATCTAGCCTTCAGCTATACACCTGGACACATACAGAGATACTGTATTTGTAATTTTTCAGTAGGCTTTTGAACTTTTGAAATACATTACTTAAAAGGTATATCATTATTACACTAATGGTATTTAGAATATTTACATATGTAATCACTCATATCACAGCATCTTGATCTGAATTACTGATGTCGGAATGTATTTATTTTTGAGTACATGTACAATATGGTATTATACACATATCCTATTAAGATTTAAAAATTTTTTGATTGATATATATATTAATTGTAGATATTTTAGGGGATACTATGCTATTTGATGAGTATTGAATCCTGTCATTTTTTTTTTTTTTTTTTTTTTTTTTTTTTTTTTTTTTTTTTCTGTGCTGGAGATTGAAGGATTGACTCCAGGGTTTTATGCATGCTAGGGAAGCACACTACCACCTAGTGGGACAGTTCAATACATGCGCATACTCTAATGAACAGACCAAGCTGCTTGGAATATGTTACTTTACACATGCATCATTATTTTTTTGTGTTGAGAACATTCAAAATCTTCTCTATTAGCTATTTTAAAAATAATCAGTTGCTGTGAACTGTCTGTCCTGCTGTGCTGTAGACTATTATCCAACTGTACCACATATCCATTAACCATTTTCTCCATCCCTTCCTGACCCTTCCCAGGCTCTGCAGACCACTATTTTCTGTTTCTCTGAAAAGCAGCACTTTAGCTTCATGAGAACAAGCAGTGTTTGTCTTGAGTCTGGCTTATTTGTATTAGTCTAATGGCCTCCATTTCTATCATATGTTGTTTCAAATGAGACTTTTGCTGTCTTGTATGGCTGAGTAGTATTTCATTGTGTGCATATATACCATATTTTCTTAAGTCATATGGTTTATTTCATAAATTGTTATTGAATAACACAAATTATTGAAGAATTATCTTAAGGGAACAGTCTTTAAAAGAATAAACAGTGTAATTCCTGTGTATGCACAAGAATACATGGATGTGTGTTTCTACAGAAAATTTTTTTTGTTTGGTTGGGTTTGGTTGGGTTTGGTTTTATTTTTTTGAAGCAGGGTCTTCCTGTAGCCCCAGCTGGCCTAGAGTTCACTATATAGGCCAAGCTGGCCTCCCTCTTACAGTGATCCATCTGACTTTGCCTTCCCGGTACTGGGACTGAAGGCAGGTGCCACCACGCCCACAAAAATATTTTTAAGAAAAACTGTAATTAAAATTTGGCATATGAACACCTAGAATATTCTGCAGCAGTAATTAATGGTTTCCAGGGATGCTACGTATTGTTTTTCCCCAATGCTGACCTTTTTTGTAATTATCCAGTTTTACTATTCTTAATTTGCAATAAAAATGCTATTACTTTAAACAACATAAAGCAATGTGAACAATAAAAAAAAGGCTTTTACAGGCACTGTTATTGCAAAATGAATTAAGTAGTGTTAAGTAAAATTTTGGTAGCATGGTTAAACTCTAATCTTTAGGAAACTGACTTTGTTTTTCTGTAGGATTCCTCTAGCAGTGAAGATTCTGAGGACTCCTCCAGCGAGGTCAAAAGGAAAAAGCATAAAGAGTATGTAATTTTATTCAACTGAATACTTTTATGCCAGGAATGTGTTCACAGTTTTCTGTTTTTCCTTTGTAAATATTTTTTTCTAAATAAGAGGATTTTTTTAATTCTAACTTCATATTTTGTAAGGTAATTTAAACCACTAAGCCTTAACATTTATCTTAATATAACCAGATGAGGTTTTATTCCACTTCTTTA